CAAAGTCACGATTATTTTTGCACGTGGGGCAAGTTCTCGGCCTGACGGTCTCGAACTGACCCCACGCGCAAAAATAATCGTGACTTTTAGGACTATATCCTACACTTCTTTGTGAAAAAAATCTAATACACTCATTTCTAGAAACATGCCCATGTATTTGTATCACGCACACGGTAGAGAAGAATAATGTATGTGACATTAGACTCTTACTAAACTGACATTAAGCTGTTACGCATATCAATATATTTGATTCCTATTATTAGGAAATAACATTTAATACAAACAGTATGTCTTTAATTAGAAACTATTTGTTCGAACTTCCATTGTCGTTATATTATATCCGTTTGTTTGTTTGTTTGTTGTTTAACGCCGCAATCAGAAATATTCCATTTATATGACGGCGGTCAGTAAATAATCGAGTCTGGACCAGACAATCAAGTGATTAACATCATGAGCATCGATCCACATAATTAGGATACGATGACATGCATCAACCAAGTCAGCGAGCCTGACCACCCGACCCCGTTAGTCGCCTCTTATGACAAGCATAGTCGTGTGTGCGGCAAGCATGGATTGCTAAAGACCTATTCTACCCCGGATCTTCAAGCTTCACATATTATGAAAGTTAGTTATGAACGTATGTACGTATATCGCAGTATCTCATGAAAGGACCGATTAGGACATAAAACCCCGACTATCAAGTTATCGACAGATAATCAATTTCATCTCTGACAGAAATACGAAGCAAATCTTGCAGTATGCACACATCACAATTACCTTTGTCAACATACATAACATGTTCGACCAAATTTAATTCATTAAAGAGAAACGTGTAGCATATTCATAAAAACGTCCATTTCGTATTGGTATTCATATTCGTATCGCACTTACACAGAGGCCCTTACAGAATTATGTTTAATTACGATTAATTACACACGTACGTACACTTGCACCTTCAGGCACAGTCCATGTACAGACATGACTGTCAAGCATACGGTACTTGGGGACGTATGCCGATCCGAAATCCCCATGGGGTATAGATGTATAATATAAAATTAATTCAGTTGTACAAAGCCCAAACCGACCACATTAACAAAGAAACGTTTTGGCCTGACTGTAAATTTGGTTGACACATTGCCATAACACATTTCCACTGTTTCGCCCCTTGAAAGTAATTAATGGTGAAGGACATGCGAGTCATACATTATTGCTCAGCATCAACCCTTTTAATCTGTTAGCTACGTAATGTTTAATTCACGGCAACCTTTTGAAACGGCTCTTTTCAAATCCGTTGTCCGTCTGTGCTTATGATCATTGTTATTAACCTCTAAATAATGTACACTGATCTGTAAAGCTGCACTGTCACTTGTATGTGGTAAGAGGATATCCTATTCGACTGGGAATGTTACGAATGTCCATCTGTGCTTATGATCATTGTTATTAACCTCTAAATAATGTACACTGATCTGTGGAGATGCACTGTCACTTGTATGTGGTAAGAGGATATCCTATTCGACTGGGAATGTTACGAATGTTAAATAGCCGCCAGCACGTGTAGGAAAACAGCACAATCAATCAAATCAAATGACATGTGACATGATAGGATAGAAACACGGGTGTCATTTACTGTATCGGTGATTGGTGTCTGGTTCGCTACAGCTATGTATTCAACAAAACGGGTTTGTCAATAATGAATGATTAATTTGAGTAGAGGCTATATACTTTATGGCTGATCCACCTACTCGTATTTATACACATTGTTCAAGAAGATTGCACTTTAGGTAAATCGGTTAAATTCCGGCAAACGATCTATACAGGTACCTAACATGAAACGCATGTCACATTCAATCATGTGATTCTGGTAAGTTCAAGAAAATGTACAAATCTTAAGTTCGCTTTGGTCTTAACCTCTCTATGTTTGAACATGTCAGGATATTTTAATAAAATAATGTGTATTTTGTATCAGAAATATATGTGTGAAATATTGATTCATTCTTGACATGCTTTATGAAGCATTAAATGTTTGAAATCACCCACCCTTTTTACGGCGCTTTATGCTAACACAATTCAGCATCATCATGCATGCATAATCATAAGATACCTCTACCAAAGGTCAATTGTACGATTCCGACTATATCATAAGCATTTGTTGAAGAATCAATAGGGATGATACCAGTTTTTTACAAAAAGGTCAGCACATCAAGCCCCGCCGGTTGAACCCGTCACAAACACATGCAAAAGCAAGTCAATTGCTCATCTGAAGAAACCTCGGGAAGATATGGAACAAGTCAAAACTGCACCAGATATTATTTTGGTCGCTGATGCATCACGTTTGGAAACGTCATCCAACTGTCCACCACTATCCGATCTCTACGTTCAACTTCAACTTTCCAACTGCCAGACCGCCTCCGTGGTCTTGTGGTAGAGCGTCCGCCCGGAGAGCGGAAGGTCCAGGATTCGATCCCCAGCCGCGTCATACAAAAAGACGTTAAAAGATGGTACTTGTTGTTACCCTGTCTGGCGCTCGGCATTAAGGGGCTAAAACAAGGACTGGTCGGCTCGGAGTCAGTAAACTGTGTCTGAGTGGGGTATTCATGTTAAACTGCGGCGTGGTATCTCAGTGAGCTAGCACTATAAATCGGCACCAGTCCGGACTAGTACAAGCAGCCACACACACACATACACGTGCATGCACGTCGCTATATAAGTGCAATAATCTTGGACGCGACGTTAAACCCAATTTCACCTCACCTCCAACTGCCAACTTTCCCTTTATGTCGTGCAATATTCCAGCTGCTTAGCCTTTGGCCTCAAAATATCCCAACATTTCAGGTAGAATCGATTATTCTCTTTCTCAGAAAATTTCCAAGAGCGTCACCTTAAATGCCCCAGTAAACCTTTCAATTTAAAGAAACATTTTAAAGGCAGGACCAGCCAGGAAGAAGTATCAATCAATAACATTACATACACGCGTTGTTCATAAACAGTGTGTTATGATACTTGTTCATGCAGTACCGTGTGTGTAGTAAGTAGTATGGAATACTACTATTGCATACGAAAGAGGCAGGTGAATGATGACAGCCAAGGTGAGTGAGTGAGTTGGGTTTAACGCCGCTTTTAACAGTATTCCAGTTATATCGCGGCGTGTCAGCTTAATGTTGGAGGAAAGTCCGAAGTGATGCAGGTCTTGGACGTTTAAAACTTCGGTGAAACCCACGAGCACGGGTATGGTGCTGACAAACCTAGAAACATATTCGGGGCGAACCGGGATTCGAACCCACGATCATAGGTTTCTGGCGTGCCCAAGGGACGCAACTCTGCACAGCGCATCGCGGCGCCTTAGACGACTGGGCCACCCGTGCCTCCGACAGCCAAGGCTATGTGGCATGACAACTTCGGCATGTCACACAAGCTACTATTTGCATTGCCTCAACACCCTCAGCAGATAAAATTAGTGGAATCATGAGTCAATATATCGAGTTTCTCCACATCTGGTTTGTGTAAATAGCAAAATATTGATAATGTTTATTATGCGACCTCATTACCCCTTATAAATAAAAGTGACAAAAATCCTTCCATATTCAAAAGAACTCTCTGCTAAAAGCAGATTGTACGGTTCCGATTGTACCGTAAGCATGTGTTTATGAACCACTATCACATACAAGGTAACAGTGTTCGCTATTTAAGGTGGGCGTATCCTGCCCCACCGGTGGACACGTCACAAAGAAATGTCCTCCACATGTATGCCATAAAACTTTGGGAGAGCTTTTTTTTTAAATTACTTAAGCCTTGAATGTTGTAACTTTGATGAAACAATCTTTGAACAACTTTTTGTCGGATGACGCTCTTTAAATGTTTAGAATGTTAACACCAAAGACTGGAACTGCTGGAATATTGCTTGACGTAAAGGGAAAGTTGACTCTTGGAAAGTTGAAGTCACTCCTCCTGTCTTGAGGGGAAATGGCTATTTGATACACCTGAAGCTTAAGTTAAACCTCTTGGCCAAATTGCCAATCCGAGCAGGATCTCTGACTCCTTTGCATAAAGAAACAGATCAGCAGGAAGGGGGGTTGGGGCACAATTGGTGCCAAAAGATTTGCCTACTTCTTGCTAGGGTTCCTATCCCCAACTTTCACGTAGATGCTATCAATGAGAAAATCTCTCAGTAAAAATTGTTTTAATTATATTTTACAGTTGTCTTGAAGTGTTGAGATGAAACTATATCTATGGTCTCCGTGTTCAGTGAAATATGCCCCATATTAGCCCCTGCATATGTGTGCACTGTGTTTTCTTGAAATGAGCTCATTTGTAATATCAGATGGTCATATGTGTAATACAGCGCCAGCCTGCCAGGTGGTCGGGACTGAAGCTGTGGCCGGGAGCATGGCTACAGACCGTCGCCGTGTGGGGCCAGTGCAAATTGATGTCCTTCTTGCCCTCAGGTCCAATGTTTAGTCATCATCAATGGGACTAGGGCTGAGTCCACAGTTACGACCCGGGTACCCACCCCCTATTACCCGACCCTACCCGGGTACCCACTGTAGGTTTCAAAAGATACAAAATGTCCGATTGGGAATTTTTTTTACCACAGCACTTGCAAAACGTATTTAGATATATGTATTAAACGATCTGGTCATGCATACACTGAAGTTGACTTAAGTTATATCTTTATTCAACCATATGAAAAGTCAGAAGGAATGGCTGCATAGTCAGAAAGAAATGCGAAAATTAGTGACTTGTAGTTTAACCATAGAGTTCTAGATACTTTTTGTCATTGAACTATATATCACATGACTAACCACGGGTCCGGGTAGTCCTGTGGCTACCCGGGTCCTACTCAGTACCCACCCGACCCGGGTACCCGAGTTACCCGTCTCAGCCCTAAATGGGACACAGCTGTCTAAGAAACCCAACTGCCAACTTAGGTGACTGATACCCCATGAAAGTCCTCTGAGAAATATGGGTACATTTACATCATGTTTCATTTCATATTCTTGCAGATTGTCCTCTAAAAGAACTGGATGTTGAAGAGTCTAGAGTGGAACATATGTCCCGTGTCATGGTTAGCTGACGATCGTCTGCAGTCAGGGAAGCAGTATCGTCAATAAGTAGACAATACTGTTATGACAGTTCCAAGAATCTGTCTATGGAACTCAATTTCAGATCAAGAGGTTCCGGTGATCTTCAATAGATAGTTCACGGATACATTCCGCCGCTGCCGGAAGGGTTAACGCCAGACATGTATTTTCGGATGAGTCTTTCGAAGATCGAATTGGTGTCTTTGCTCTGCCTCATTGCATTGCAAGGTGAGCGCTAGGGTCGCGTAATTAATGCAAATATATAACATCGACGCTAATTTGACACTAAATTCAAATTATATATTGTCACCCTTACGAGTATGTACTAATTCCTTTTATGACAAACGACAAACCTTTGTCAGAACATAATCGCACAACAACCGTAAATCTTAATTTGTAATCAGTCTATTTGTCTCTGTGCTTCTGTCTTCCAGATTCGATGTGTGATGAGTTCGTATCTGACAACATCATTAAAGGAATACTAGCCAACGGTTACCGAAAGGAAGTGCGGCCTCGATGTCCGGGTGTTACGGCAGTTGATGTCACTCTGGATTTGGCGCTCAGACAAATTATTGAGCTGGTAGGAATAATTATAATGTGTCCTCGATATACAGCTATTAAGATTAACTACATGTTGTCATGTGCCCAATAAAAGCTCGGCAACATAATATAACAGTCTTCCTTCAAATTTGCAAATTGTAATGACATTCCATATTTATTGTGCACATCAGTTTTTGCTGTTTCCTGTGATTGTGCTTACAATGATGCCTTGTTGGCGATTATATCTGATGCCAATGGGCATAAAAGATGTATGTTTGAGATTGTTTAACGAACACACTGTGTGAGGTTTCATTTATGTTGCATATCTATCCTCGGCATGTCGGTGCCAAGAATACATATTCGCGTTCTGCCATGTACATTTTCCTCTTTTCAGAACGAGCCAAAACAGTTTCTGCAAACAAATGTGTGGTTACGAGCGGTACGTCAATGGTTATGGAGCACGAACTACATTCAGAATGTCACAAATCGTTAATTGTAATTTATCATTTGTTGCACCCCTAATATCCGAGATCCTGAAACATAAATCACGTACTTCAGATGTCACAACATCTGTTGATATATTTGTTTAGTTGTACTTCCTTGTTTGTCTTGTAGCAGCTGATAATTATGTTTAACAGTAAACACACTAGCCATGAACCGCCATGTGTTATTTAGAATAAAAGTTGGAAATCTAACCAAGCAATTACTTTTAAGCGTTAACGTTCTTTTTGGGGGAATAGAGGGTTCATCATTTTAGTTTAATACACCAAAAATGTTACCGAAAACTAATTATATTTACACGATGGTTTTAGTCAATTATTGAGCCCGCATTTTGATTGATTGAGCCCGTGTAAGCATCATGATGGAGGAAGACTCATAAACGTTGACATAAACGTTTGCCATTTGTCTGGAACCCAAGAGCACAGTGCTGGCTGACCAATGGTCAGAAATGGGTGGAATCGAAACTGTGACCACTATGTCAAGCATTCTCATGCATTTTGAATTGAAATACTTTATTAATATGCAGCTCATAATGATTTACTCTCTCCGGGGACTAAAGCCATTTGGTAATTTATTTTATAATCTCCCCGTCATTGTGAGAATTTAATGCCCTGATTACAGCGACTTTTCATTTTATGATTTCATTCATTGTTCATGCTGCGCTATATAAACGACGGCTAGAACGTCGTATTTCCTACTTTGAAAATAATTTCAGTAATGACTAGAAGCAGCACCCTAGTCTGTAGTATGGATTTTCTATCAAATGCTGTATCAATATTGCAAGACCCTGTCTGGAAATGTCAGTTAGGCATTACTATGCAACATAGAGTAGTTGGTGTAGTTAGAAATATTAGAGTTTGCGAAAGCTGTCACACAAATATTTGCAACTACGCGTGTCGAGGTGCTCTCTTCCAGCCGATTGGCCATAGAATCTGTTTATAATAATTGCCATACGCAGCGGCATTTTTCAATACACGCTCTCGGACGATGTCTCGAGTGTTCACTACTTAAAACGTGTCACCCCACCAAACTGCAACGCCTACCGACAATGATTCAGAAAGAAGAGCCTTTCCATAAACAAAGTTTCAGCGGTGATGCGGCAGTCAAATTAGTTGTTTCAATCAGAGGTGGTTATTTTACTTTTGAAACCTCTCATGGCACAATCAGAATAGAGTTAGTGTGTATATTTCCAAACTCACAGTAGAATATGTGATCAGCAACATTCTAAGGACGTTTCATCCAATAATTAGTTTTTTTCTGAAGTAAGTAATGCATTAATGCGTAAATGGCTAACGTTCACACTAATTGTCCTTTTTTTAAGTGAGTGATTGCGTGCGTGCATGTGTGAGTTCGCTAGATTTAACTCCGCTTTGAAAATTGTTCCAGTTATAGTCAACCCCCCTCATCTTTAAAAAAATATGAAATTTAAAAATGAATAATTAGTAAATCGGGCAACATTTTTAATTTTAATCAAACATATTATAATTTGACTTTGTGTGAAAAGTATGTCAATGAAGATAAAAACAGGGTACGTGGGAAAACGACACACAAACATACATTGATTGATTGTTCAGAGTTTCTGCACATATAACTCGTCAAGCCCGGGCAACTTGCGAGTGTTCGTATTGAACATGTGTGTATTCGTTTCGTTTCGCTATAGTTTCATTATTTCTATATTTACGGTCTACATGCAGCACATGAATTCGTTATTGGTCAGGGACTGGTAATGAGTTCCTGTGCAATCACAAGGGGGCGCACTTCGCTTTGCAGAGTTGCCTACCCTGGCAGCCGATGATCTGTATTATACATTGACTTCAGCCATCCTGGACGAGCTGTGCAACTATGTTCAACACTTCACATTAATTCCGTTGTTTGTTGTTGATTAAATTAATGTCAGATGACCTTGGATATATAAATTTTGGCCCAGACACAAAAAATAAGAAGGTCTAACCCTCAGGCTAGCTCCAGCAGAATACCCGTCGATAGTAACGACCCAGCACGTGAAACGATCCGAGGTTGCACGTAGTGTAAATCTGTTGCTCACGCTCTGCGTGCGATATGGACTCCTATGTTCTGGGCTGACGCCGAGTCCATGGCACTCTCGACGAGGAGGTTAACCTATATTGTTATCATAGTTTTTATATTTGTTTGTTTGTTGTTAAACGCCACACTCAGCAATATTCCAGCTTTATGACGGCTGTCTGTAAATAATCGAGTGGTTACCAGACAATCAAGTGATTGATATCATGAGCATCGATCCACGCAATTGGGATACGATGACATGCATCAACCAAGTTAGCGAGCCTAACCACCCGTTCCAGTTAGACGCCTCTTACGACAAGCATGGGTTTGCCGAAGAAGTATTCTAATCCGGGTCTTCACGGATCCATAGTTGTATTTAGGGATAAATGAATAGCATAATTATTATTGTTTTCCCTAACTGCATAGCTATGTATTTTCTGTATTGTAGTTTTGGAAAGACTGCCGTTTAACCTGGAACAAAACTCAAACGGGCGTTGACAACCTTATTCTTCCTGTGTCGTTTATGTGGATTCCTGACATCACATTATATGACAAGTATGTGCTTTTGATACAGTAGCAATCAACAAAATAGTCAAAAAGTTACTTCATTTGGTGTAAGATATATACTGAAGACCAGTTCTAACCCAGATCTTTACGGGCATAAAGCAGCTTTGAAACGTATTTCAGTCTTCCCCGAAGTGATGCATGTGTAAGAATAGTTTTTCATATTTTGATGGTGACTTAATGATTGATTATATTGCATATCACAACTCTGTTTTTAATATTCTTGTTCAAAGTAGCGCAGATGAAGGAATGAAAGCCGCCAAGGAATACCGTGTCAGCGTAACAAGCGAGGGGGAAACACGTCACCAGATACCCATTGTCCTCACAAGCCTGTGTACCATAGATACAACATACTTCCCATTTGACAGACAATCATGCCATCTCAAATTTGGGATGTGGGCCTACAGTGGTCTGGAAGTTAACTTCACAAATATCAGAGACGATGCCGATTTGACGTCATATCAAGGTCACGTAGAATGGACCGTGCTCAGCATGAACGTTGAACGTAGTGTGACCTATTTTGAAGACATTCCCTATCCATCATTGGTATACGATCTGAAGTTGAGGAGGAAACCTCTGTTCTTTATTCTCAATCTCTTCTTCCCCTGTGTCCTCATCTCAATGGTGGCTATCCTGGGTTTCATGCTGCCTCCAGATGCAGGGGAAAAGGTCAACTTGGAAGTGACGGTTCTCCTGTCGCTGGCTGTGTTCCAACTCATTGTCCTGGAGATGATGCCGCCCAACTCGGAGACGTTACCGTTTATCAGTGAGTACTCATTCTTTGGAGTCGACCCGTGAAGATCCGGGGTAGAATAGGTCTTCAGCAACCAAAGCTTGCCGTAAAAGGCGACTATGCTTGTCGTTAGAGACGACTAACGGGAACGGGTGGTCAGGCTCGCTGATTTGGTTGATCAATGTCATCGTATCCCAATTGCGTGGATAAATGCTCATGATCACTGGATTGTCTGGTCCAGATTCGATTATTTACAGACCGCTGTCATATAGCTGGAATAAACAATGGCGTTAAACAACAAACAAACAAAACATGCTTGGGAGTCATGGTGGAGTAGGCCGTCAGTGTCCTATGATTTTATTAACTCATGAGCGGGGATTTACAATGTGTGATCTTGCCGGATTATATACCATCGTACCGCGAAAACGTGAACTGTTTAAATGACTTCAATAAAATTTGATGAGTCTAACATTTTCCTGAGTATAACCTCCATTTACGGATTCATTTTGTAACAGACAGTACTGCTAAGTATGAATTGATTTCGAGATGTTGCAAAGAAGGCGGTTATATTGCTGATATTAATACCCGTTGGGATACGTGCACATATCTGTCATACACTGGGATCGAATAACCAATCATTGTAGGGATGAAATAGTAATGAAATGTTCTTTTATGGCCCAATAAACACGTTTTATGTCCACGAGCTATGTCGTCGGGTCAATGTGACATACGATAAGTCAGGTCACACACTCGATCCTGGAACCTAATTATTGTAGATTGATTTGCGCGTTGATTGTGGGTTCGAATCCCGGTTCGCCCCGATTGTGTTTTTAGATTTGTCAGCACCAAACCCTTGCTCGTGGGCTTCACGAAAGTAGTAAACGTCTGAGACCTGCATCACTTCGGGCTTTCCTCCCACATCAAGGTGACACGTCGTGATATAACTTGAATACTGTTAAAAACGGCGTTAAACCTCACTCACTCCCCCTTCGTTATATTTAAACATTTGTGACGTGCATTATGTTCTTCGAACTGCAAATGAGGTGGACGGGTAGTTGATTGTCTTGTGCAATAAATTGCTGTGTAGAGTTGCGTGCCTTTGTCGTGGCTCTCTCCGCTGTATAAGACTGACAATGACCCTTGTCTTGTCAGCACCATGTCCGTGATTTTTTGATTCACAAGTTCCTAACGTCTACGGTATGCGTCAATAATGCTGCAAAGCGCTGATATGGCTAAATATAGCCAAAGACGGGTTAATATGTATGAACATTTCGGTCCAAACAAACGTTTTATTGAGATATATGATATTAATTGCCTGCCGTTATTTGCAATAAGTACATGGTAAAATTATCAGTTGCATACATTTGAGAAGGAATTTCTTTCCTTCATGTTGGTTAATTAGTGTTTTGCATAACGCAGCTATAGGATACGCTTATGTCCTGACTAGAGGAAATTAAATAGAAAGTATTCAGACGTCTGATTCAGATGCAACGTCACGTCCAATGCATACTGATGGTAACAGACATCGGCTCATGTTTTAATCACCATTGATTAATGCCTACCTTGCGATTATGCAATCTCAAATATCGAACGTAGGATTGCCGAGGAGAGCCAAAAGTCGTTTCAATATGTGAAACTATGATCTATTTGTTTCTTATATCGTAATTATTTCCACGACGGTTTGGTCTGTGTCTTTGATGCTTCCTTAATCCACTTGACTAGAATACAGCATTTGAAACTATTAGCCAGGATCGTACACAGTTTAACATACTCAGACGATCTTCAAATTGTCTTTTCTTGAAAACGTCATAAAATTCTCTCATATTAAAGGTCATTGATATTTTACGTTGGAGGCAATATAATGGATAATTCTTTGTGCATTCACAACAAATCTTTGCTGACATTGATTAATGATAAAGTGACGTTAAAAGATGCAGAATATACGTATACTTGACATTATAATATACCAGCCAATGACAAAATTAGACACTATGTCACAGAACGACCAACGTTCATGTGTTATATTTACACTAATACATAGTATTTCTCTATGTTCGCGGGAAGGTGTGGTACCCAAGGGGTTATTGAGTCCCACGTCATAACGCGACGAGTGAGTGAGTATGGTTTTACGCCGCTTTTAGCAATATTCCAGCAATATCACGGCGGGGGACACCAGAAATGGGCTTCACACATTGTACCCATGTCGGGGATCGAACCCGGGTCTTCGGCGGGACGAGCGAACGCTTTAACCACTAGGCTACCCGACCGCCCCAATGTACCTATAATACCTGTACAAACCGAGATGGAGGCTGACATGCATGCAGCAAGAATGTTTGAAACAGATTATGTCATAGTTTTTAGACTATGGTCTGTTGTTACCCAACCACCACCACCACATGGCCATGCTTACGGTCACAAAATTATATGATTATAATGAAATTATCATTATCAACTTTAGTCGCGTGATTGTGTGTTTAATGGAAAATAATTGAGAAAAAACGGGAGCCAAAATGATGGTAGACGGACTATATATTCAACTGCATCTTATCATGGGAACAAAAGACCAACTTCAAATAAGATTATACGCCGGTTTTACGCCGCTTTTAGCAATATTCCATTAATATCACGGCGGGGGATACCAGAAATGGGCTTCACACATTTTACCCATATCTGGAATCGAACCCGGGTCTTCAGCGTGACGAGCAAACGCTTTACCACTAGGCTACCGGACCGCCCCATATATGTAACAGTTCCATTCTCCAAATGGGAGCAGTGTGTGAGGTCCATACTTGTCCTTTTGTCATGGAAGTCTTGGAATACCTAAAACTGGTTCGCTCCTGCTGGCCCCGACATTATGTACATTAATCAGGTGAGGTGAGGTGAGGTAAAATGGGGTTTAACGTCGCGTCCAAGGTTATTGCACTTCTATAGCGACGTACATGTACGTGTGTGTGTGTGGCTGCTTGTACTAGTCCGGACTGATGCCGATTTATAGTGCTAGCTCACTGAGATACCATGCCGCAGTTTAACATGAATACCCCACTCAGACACAGTGTACTGACTCCGATCCGACCAGTCCTTGTTTTGGCCCCTTAATGCCATCTTTTAACGTCTTTTGGTATGACACGGTGCACCTTTACAAGAAGTTCGCGATAAGGTGAGCGTATCCTGTCCCAACGGTGGCACCCGTCACAAACACATGCAAAGGCAAGACAACTGTTCACCTAAAAAAAACATGGGAACATATGGTACAAGTCAAAATAGGGAATTACATCGGACATCATTTTTTGGTCACTGATGCGTCAAATTTGGAAATGCCTTACCATGTCTACCATTAAACTTTTTGAAAACTTTACTGACGCCTTGAACACATGCTCGTGACGTACGATCGACCTTGCTTTTGGCAGAGATTTCTTATGAATGTTGAATGGGTTTTGTCACTTTTATTTACGTTAACCTTACAATGCAAACAGTTTGACACCTTATTTCGTGCTTGAAACTTGATTGAATACATTTGGGATTTATCAAAAAGGATATTTGTGGTGCGTTTATAAACGCCGATGGTAATTTCGTTTCAATCTTATGAACGTGTGTTTTGATATGATACGTCACTGAATGCTATCTTATTCACCCACAGGTATATACTTTGCCTCGACCATGGTCTTGGTGGCATTGTCATGTCTCATGACAGTCGTTGTTCTGAACGTCCATTTCAAGGGTTCCCAGGGTTGGCCAGTTCCAGTGATCGGCAAAACTATCATCATCGGGGGATTGGGCAGGTTACTGTGTGTGAGACCAAACCATAAAGGGCGGAAGAAGCATCCCGCTAATGACGTGAGTTTAGACCTCAGTTTTATTCCATAAATTTATTTTTTTAAATATTGGTTTATGTTTGCAAGATTATAATTTATCTTTATTAGCCTTCACAGGTTGGGGTAAAAAAAATTAACATGTCAATTCAAATAGAGTTTGCTTCGTAAATAATGCTTACGTTCGCTGGACCATTGTTAGCTGTATCCGGATGTGAGCTATAACCTTAACTTGAGTTGTGAAGATAAGTGATTTGATTTTGGACAAAAAGGACCTTTAAAGCTGTTTATCATGATCATATTGTACATATTTTCATGATGTATTGCAGCTGAGCATCAGGGCACCTTTTCACAAAGCGTTCGTAACACTATGACCGTCGTAACACTACGATCGCGTTTAATGAAACGGGGTTCTATGAGCTCGGGTGTCTCATTGATATAAGACGACGCAATTACATGTACAGAGTTGCGCCCCATAGTGTGCACCAGAATCAGGTGACAACGGGTTCGAATCCCAGAGTCGCCTGGTACTGTATTTGTTGAAACATGCCGATGTTTGGGGGTTTATAGTCAAATACCTGTGTATGTCATGTTCTCGGTACACCTCCATAGATGGTTGCCTCAGATGAACCTTGAATACATTTCGACCGCCCAAACAAAATGAAGGATGCGTGGGTTCCAGTGTTTATTGGTTACCAGAAATACTGTTCAATGCACTCACTGACTCATATTCTTGAAATACCCCTATCATTCCAGGTTGTTCAAGGTCTTCGGTTTGAACGACGGAAGACCACTGTGAAACCTCTGAACAACGTCAGCGCCATAGACAACGTCAGCGCCATAGACAACATCAGTACCATAGAAAACGTAGACGCAGACACCTCCCTCTCACCGGCAACAAGCCTACTTCTAAAACACTTTAATCGGATCAATGCTAGCCTGAGTGATATGGTGACCCAACTGGGTGACAGGAAGAGTGACAAGGCCATGTGTGAGGAGTGGGAGCTTATGGCTCTCGTCCTGGACAGAGCCTTTCTCCTGCTCTATGGCTTCCTCACCTGTTTAACTTTGCTGATTTTCATAATAATATTCCAGACACAGTAAGTGGGGGACCGGTGTGAAATGAGGTCCCTCGGGTACTTAGATCCTGGTATTCAGTCAGACCACCTCATGACATCAGAAAGAAGGAGATCGATTTCAACATGGCTAGGATCTCCCTCTCGACCGAACGTGAATTTTGGTTTAATTTCTTTTAATTATGCGCATAATTTGCCTGTTAACCAAATCATGATTATGGACTATTCCTTGATTGTTTGGACAATCTTGGATGCCCCATGTTGAATGCAAATGTAAATCAGTCGCTGAAATCAATAGAACAAATCGGTAACTACCTTACAGTCTGCTTTTGTACCCCTTTCGAACTTAAAATTTAATTACGAATATCATGATGATAATGATGACGAAGAGGGTGGTGATGATGATGATGATGATGATCATGATCAAGATGATGATGATCAAGATGATGAAGAAAACGAAGACGAAGGGGGTGATGATGATGATGATGATAATGATGATGATGATGATGATGATGATGATGATGATGATGAAGAACAACAACAACAAAAAGAAGACGATGACGACATGTCGCTGCTGCTACTGACCACGACGCTGATGGCGAAGATGAGGTTGATGGCCCTGAAGATGAAGTTGATGGTGATGGGGATGATGATGGTGAAGATGAAGATAATACTGCGGGAAAGCTGTAACACTTCCCAGCTATACATTACGGATGATTCCATATGTTGTATGTTGTATGTTCTTAATGTACCTACCGTAAATCAAACTGGTTATATGGCACTCGGACGTGTTGATTTACCTGTAACTAAAATTGATTAACAACTTGAAGCGTTAACATTTGATCCACAGTCCACATTTCTGCCAGGGTTGCTACTCACATGATTAGTGCTGTGATTGTCAAATGAAGGAATCAAATTGCAAAAAATATTTGCATGTGTGCAGAACTATGACGTATATATGTAACAAGAAATACAACCCTTTTGTGACCCAAGAGTGTTATTATGTCTGGAGCACCTAGAGATCGTCGCCGTGGCTTGAGCTCAGAAATAGGTTGGTCCCGACTCATCTGTTTTGGTAAGAGTTGCCGTGCTCGGAGGTTTCACCGATGTTATCAACGTCTACGACTTGCATATATTCCAGCTATCCTCTGACATCCAGCTGACACGGTGTCATAGCTGAAATACTATTCACAGCAGCGTTAAACCCAACTCACTCACTCCTATGTGTTCTCCAAGGCCGACCGCCTCCGTGGTCTAGTGGTAGAGCGTCCGCCCGGAGAGCGGAGGGTCCGGGGTTCGATCCCTAGCCGCGTCATACCAAAAGACGTTAAAAGATGGTACTTGTTGTTACCCTGTCTGGCGCTCGGCGTTAAGGGGCTAAAACAAGGACTGGTCCACTCGGAGTCAGTATACTGTGTCTGAATGGGGTATTCATGTTAAATTGCGGCATGGTATCTCAGTGAGCTAGCACTATAAATCGACATCAGTCCGGACTAGTACAAGCAGCCACACACACACATACATGCACGTCGCTATATAAGTGCAATAATCATGGACGCGACGTTAAACCCAATTTCACCTCACCTCACCTCATTAAGGCCACATGGCATTCACCAGCTTGCGAGCGTAACTCTGTCAGGTTCGTGGTCCTCGGCTTTTCTCAGGGCTGGTCAAAAGGTTCTTAACCTAACAAACAAAACCAACAATTGTGAAAGTGTTTTTAATTTTATATTTCAACATAATCTCCTTGCTTTTCAATACACATCTCATATCGATAGTGGAACTTTTCAATTCCAGTCAGAGGAGGTTTTCTGAAGTAACCCTGAAAAACCGATTCAACGGTCATCGTTGTCGTCATAGCGCTTTCCACGAAGGTTTTCTTTCAGTTCAGGAAACAGGTGGAAATCGCCTGGTGCCAGGTCTGGCGAGTATGGAGGGTGAGGAAGCTCTTCGGAAGCATAGCAGCTTTTGCAAGAGAGGTGTGAGAAGAGGCATTGTCATGAACAAGTAGAACTCCAGCAGTCAACATTTCTCGCCGCTTTTCTTTGATAGAATCTCTCAAGCGATGAAGCAAGTCAGCATAGTAGGCACTGGTAATCGTCTTTTGACTTTCTAAGTTATCAACAAGGATCACACCCTTTGCATCCCGGAATACAGTGGCCATAACTTTCTTCACTGATCTTGATCACTTAAATTTCTATTGTGCCGGAGAAGTGAAATTGTGTCTTTCCATGGATTCACGTTTTGACTCTGGATTATAGTGGTAGACCCATAATTCATCAACCTTTACTAATCCCTTTTTGAATTTGGCGAAATCCTCCTCGGTTAGCTCTATATTTTCTCTTGCAATGTCAGGTCTTTTTTCCTGAAGATCAGAATGTAGAAACTTTGGCACCCAACGAGCCGATAATATATCCATCTGTAAAGTACATGAATAATAGTTTCTATGGATCCGTGGCTTATACCTGTGTGTCCCTCAAGTTCAGCAATGGTAATACGTTTATCTGACAGTATAAGTTTTTTAATCTCCTTGATTGAGTCTTTATTGATGGAAGCTGAGGGACGTCCAGACCAAGGTCCATCACCACGGCTTGTTCTCCCAGCCTTAAACATAGCTGCCCAAAGTTGAACAGTGGAATACCTAGGGCACTGATCCCTATACACATGTGACATGCGGTCATGAATTTCTTGAGGAGTACTAAAGTAAAAAAAAACTTGATGACTGATCGGTAGTCGTTCTTTTCCGTTTCTGTCTTCATTTGTATCCCTATCACGTACATCTGGCTGTCACAACTATACAAACGACCAAATACACTTGCAATGAACTACTCAAACAATGTACTACATTGACTAATTCACTTTTGTTGTGGGCCATAGTTGAAAGTTAGTAAGGCTGAGAACTGTTTTACCAGCCCCCGTACAATGCATGGCATACTAAAGATAAAAACATCTGTGTTTTGCGGAACTGATGGTGGCCCGAGGTTTTTGTGACATATATGGTGCGGGAATATCAAATTTCTTTCTGTCACTCGTGGTTCCATGGTCCTCAGGCATCGAACGAGGTTATGTTAAGGTACTTGATAGCACAGTCATGCTTCTCTGATATAGGAATGCAGGTAAGAATATGCCACCTATGCAGGTCGTACGACCGACACAACGGATCGATGGTCAGGCCTGGTGACATGGCTGTCCACATACCCCGTCGGGGTGGAGTGTTGCGGTTACAGCTTGACACCATTGGCTGAAAAAGCTGACAGTGTGTCAATTTAAATCAACAATGCAATGTTGTTTATGTGCATGCAAATAACACATGGGCACTTGTTATTGTACAGTGGTCTTTTGAATCTATACAGTCACGTCACCTCAGCTGTAGTATGCAATCCAGAAGTTGTTGAACCATAGGAACTTGTCCCAAATGCCATAGAGACTCACACAAGGATTTCCCTTGTCTTTTTGTAAACGTGAAACGTTAGGAAGAGCCTGTAACCTGAACAAACAAGGCATACAAATACACTAATAGCCTTCCACGATCGATCACAATCATTTTGGGTTATATTTCAAATGACCTAACGTCAAATCTAATATAGATTTCTAAATTGAAAACATAAAACAAAATTAATTGCACAGGACGACACAGGCGCGGCGTGGTAAATAATTGCGTAGTTATGAGCAGAAAGTGCCTTTGTGAAAGACAGTTAAACAACTTGCCATACAATACTGTCGCAGGTTATTATCAAATGTTTGGATATCTTGTGTCTAAAACGCCATTTGACTTGACTAAAAACTATTTTATATGATTATTTGGCCAAACGTTATATTGGTTGCGAGTAATGGAATACAATAACGTTCATTTCGTCCGTTCACAATATCCTGACTAGTTCTAATAACGCAACATGTCGTACAGTTCGTTTTCGGAGGACGCCTGTACAATTAAGTGAGTGAGTGAGTATGGTTTAACGCCGCTTTTAGCAATATTCCAGCAATATCATGGCTCTCATGGAGGACAGCAGAAATGGGCTCCACACATTGTACCCATGTCGGGAATCGAACCCGAGTCTTCGGCGTGACTAGCAAACGCTTTAACCACTATGCTACCCGACCGCCTCCTGTACAATTAAGATCTATAGTAAGAGTATATACAATAAAGTAAGACTGCAATTTGACCTCTTCGTACAGAGTATTTTATTAGCAAAGCCATAATCGTTGACATGAGCATGAAAGACAGTATGCTTGTAACACTCATTTGTTAGTAATCATTTAAAATCTTCCATTTCAAGAGGCCATATCTTGCAAGTCACTGTGTTGTATCGTTGGACAGGGTTTATGACTCCACTTGTCCTGCTGTGATATGATAGCAACAGTTCTTGACTCTGACGTGAAATGCCCATTCACGTTCCCTTAATTTATACATTTTTTTTGTATTTTCTATTCCATGAAATCGTAAATTGTGCCTAGAGTTACGAAGAATAAGGGAAGCCAGTCTTTATGACGACGGCATGCTTTTGGTGACCTAGTATCGTTGCAGTAATCTGTAGATGGTTCTCACGTGAACATTAAGATAAACCGTCCGCGCTTCCTGTCAGCACGCAGTCGTCATAAAGCCTGGTTTCTCTAATTCTTCGCAAGTCTTGACATCGCGCTAGTATCGGGGTGCCGTTTATCAGAAAAGGCACAAGGAATTTTGATTTTCACAGAAAGCATTCGGGACCCTGGTCGATTGTAAAGCTGCGTTTGGGCGCGTGAACAACCAACATTCCTAAAAACAGTACCAATATCAAGGATGATACTTGTTTTGTCAAAAGACATGAAGCAACAACATCATTACAAGTGATGCCGTAAATGAGAACAAAATTGAAGGTATTGTTTCGTAGGACGGGGTCAGTCGTTCACTATTCGACCAACAATCAAAACTATAATCAGCATATGAAACGCCCTTTAATCCTTTAAAATGTCACAATTGTCAGTCAGTATTGTGTATACCATCTATGGGCATCAATGCACGACTAAACTCGACGATGGGCAGAAGATGTGAGATTTATTATCACAATATTTAATTGCATAAAGCGACAAAACCCTTTCCATAGCCCAAAGAAATCTCTGCATAAAGCAGAGTCGATTGTACGATTCAGACTACATCATGAGCATGTTTTTATGAATCACTATCAAATAGTGATGATACCAGGTGTTCGCGAAAAGGTGAGCGTATCCTGTCCCAACTGTGGTACCCGTTACAAACACATGCAAAGGCAAGTCAACTGTCCACCTGAAAAACACGGGATCATATGGTACAAGTCAAAATAGGAAATTGCATCGGACATCGTTTTTGTCACTGATGCGTCAAATTTGAAATGTCTACCATAAAAGTGAGTGAGTGAGTTGGGTTTAACGCCGCTTTTAGCAGTATTCCAGTTATATCGCGGCGTGTCTGCTTAATGTGGGAGGAAAGTCCGAAGTGATGCAGGTCTCAGATGCTTACCACCCCGGTGAAACCCACGAGCACGGGTATGGTGCTGACAAACCTAGAAACATAATTGGGGCGAACCGGGATTCGAACCCACAATCATAGGTTTCTGGCGTGCCCAAGGGACGCAACTCTGCACAGCAAATCGCGGCGCCTTAGACGACTGGGCCACCCGTGCCCCCGTCTACCATAAAACGTTTTGAAAGCTTCACTTAGGCCTTGAATGCTGTTACCTTGATCAAACAACTTCTGAACAAGACTCGCGTGACGCTCCTTGAAATCTTGGTAGAAAGAGCATGTTCGATTGTATCTCAAAAGTCGTTGAAAATATTGCTCGACATGAAGGAAAAGTTGACTATTGGAAAGTTGAAGTCATCCCTCTTGTGAAAAGTGTTTTGTCAATCTGATTCTTTATGCATTGATCTAGATATGAAACAAATTAGGCGGTGTCAAGGGTTTCCTTTATTTTTCGTTCAGGTGGGTAAATCAGTGGAAGGGAAATGGGATTCAAAGCCTGACTGTGCTAACTGA